AACCATACTAATAAGTAAAAATTACTCTAGACAAACATTTGTGTCTTTTTTTATTGCTGGTGTGTTGAAATTTCTTCTTCTGCATTCTACTGTACGGACGTAAATTTACTTTCCCTTCAATCTGAGGCTTATTCATTTCACTTTTGGTGTGAAAAGGCTTTTATATTTGCCAAAAATAGAACTTTTTTATTTTAAAAACAAACAAGCAAGCCCTGTCCAGATTTAAAAAGTAACGTAACGCATTACTTTCCATAAAAAGTAACTAAGTACTGTAATTAGTTACTTTTTTATGGAGTAACGCAATATTGTAATGCATTACTTTTAAAAGTAACTTTCCCCAACACTGTTAAGGACAGTGCTGATGGAAGTGGAAGGAATCTTAAACTCAAAACCTCTGGGTTATGCATCAATTTTGGATTGGGATTGCAGACCCCAATCCCATCACACCCAATCTTCTCCTCATGGGGCGCTCGATCCATCGCTCCCCCAGGCTGTCTACCATGAATCAGAACTTTTAAGTCGTCGCAGATGGAGGCACACGCAAGTCCTCGCGGATCAGGTTTGGAGACAGTTCATCAAGTATTACCTTCCTAACCTACAGACACGTTCCAAGTGGCAGAAAGACACTGATTACTTACAGCCTGGCATGATTGTGATGATCCTAGACCCTCAACTACCCAGAGCTGTCTGGCCAGTAGGACAGATCACCAATGTCTTTCCTGGAGCTAATGGACTGATTAGGACAGCAGAGGTCAAAATAAAAGACAAAGTATACACCAGACCAGCAGCTTGTCTTATTAAATTACCATCCATCCATAACACTGACAAAACGGAGACAAGTCCTTCTAAATAAAGATGAATTTGGCTGTGCAAATTCGGGGGTGGCTGTTGTAAAGGACTGTGATAACTAACAATGGACAGTGAATGCTATTGGTGGGTTTTTAATTGACAGCTGGAACTACGAATCAGTACAGCTTTAGCGTCATCTGAAAGTAGTTCCACTAGAAGGAAAAAGAAGTGCGTTGCATTAGAAAGTTTAGTGTGGAGCTAATGAGTGTTCTCCACAAGTTTATTTCCAGTTCGTGCGTGCAGCTAGAAAACCACACATACAGTGGGTACGGAAAGTATTCAGACCCCCTTCAATTTTTCACTCTTTGTTATATTGCAGAAGTCCAATCAGTATAATCAAACACAGCTGGACTCAAATGAAGGTGTAGAACCATCTCAAGGATGATCAGAAGAAATGGACAGCACCTGAGTTAAATATACGAGTGTCACAGCAAAGGGTCTGAATACTTAGGACCATGTGATATTTCAGTTTTTCTTTTTTAATAAATCTGCAAAAATGTCAACAATTCTGTTTTTCTGTCAATATGGGGTGCTGTGTGTACATTAATGAGGAAAAAAAATTAACTTAAATGATTTTAGCAAATGGCTGCAATATAACAAAGAGTGAAAAATTTAAGGGGGTCTGAATACTTTCCGTACCCACTGTATACTTGCATCTACAGTGAAGAATGTTGAAGAAGAAACATCAGAGTCCTTGCATTCTTACTGGATGTGCCATAGTGATTGCAAAACTTTACTAACCAGCCCCAAATAAGTACTTCAGAACACTGAAGACTGGAGTAGGCTAATAATGCTGAAAATGAAATCATTAGGGAAATTGTAGGCTTGGACGGATGTTGTTTAAACACAGACCGTTTGACATACCAGCTGTTTAAAGTCAAAAGCAACAATTCATGCAAGAATGAATTTACACAGATTAACTTTCTGTCTAAGTCTCATGAAGCATTGTTTTTTTAAATAATAGTTTAAGAACTGAAATCATCAAGTGGTAAAAAGGGAGGAAAGTACTCAAATGAAAGGTTTATTTGTCACATTTGTTTTATCATTCAGTTATTTTAGACTTACTTAGTTACTAAAAATACACGTTTTGAATGTTTATCAATCAATTAGTATAAAATACCCATCATCATAATAACACAAGCAACAGTCTCAAATGAAGTCACACTACATAAGTCTTTTAGGGTCAATTTTCTCCAGGTGCACTAGAGGTTTCAGCTGTTCTGCGAAGCTTCTCATATCCTCAGACACAGTGTCCTGTCCTGCAGGAGCCAGTACGCTCAGCTCAACAAGATACGACAGAGACAGTGGCTCTGTGTTCTCCGTGTTTCCTGTCGCCAGGACACGTAACAGTTTGCTCACTACCACCTTCATTGCACCCTTCCGGAACACTTGACCCTTGGCCACAAACTCATGGTCCATGCGGAAACCCATCTCATTGAGAAACTCCGGTAAGCTGTGTGAGGCAGCCACATCCACACAGTTTCGCACCAAGGCATGACGGCTTTTGTCGCCCACCTCCGGCTGACCTAGATAGCGCAGATGCCAAGGGGCAGTGGGGTGAAGAAGCGAGCGGCGCCCACGCAGCATGAACGGGTTGCCCTGTTGACCCTTCAGGAGATACACCAGCTCATGATCAGCAAAGCTCTCAGGCTCCATGTTATCACACAGACCTCTGAGTCGATGTAGGAGACTCTCTAGAGACTGATCCAGCACACTGCCTGTGCCGAAAAAAAAAATCAACAAAAGAGTAAAGTTAGAAGATATAACTTTACAAATCTTACTTAAAAATTAAAAACCAGTGACACATTTATGGGAGCCTTTTATTGTCATGGAATTAAGAAATAAAAAGGTAATTGCAGTTTATATGATATAACTGTGTTACAATTCTGACTGTGTTTCTTGCAATTCTGAGAAAAATTGACTGTGAGAGATAAACTCAGAATTGCAAGATATAAACTCACAATTCTGACTTTTTCCTCATAATTCCAAGTTTACATTTCACAGTTCTGAGTTTATATCTCACAATTTGTTTTCAGCCACGGAATACAAATGAAAAAAGGTAATTGTGACTTTTTAAAAATTTTTTTTTGCAATTGCAAGTTTATATCTTACAATTCTGACTTTTCTTCTCAGAATTAGGAGACTCAAAATGATGAGACTCGAATCTGTCAGAAAAAAAGTCAGAACTGGGAGATGAAAAGTCGCGATAGGCTTTATTTCTTTTCTTAATATTTTTTTTCCATGATGGAAACAGGCTTCCATACATGTTTCTGTTCAAATCAATTCAAAGTTTCTTTATCAAATTCAAATCAATAGAATGATTACCAGTAATCCCTGAAATATGTGCATGACTTAAAGCAAAAAATAACCTCACAAAATGGTTTTGTGTTAATACCATGGTACATTGTTGGTGTCACTTAGAAAAAAGAATAGTGCAGGGATCCTACTGTACCTCTTCTGACCAATACATTTCCATGACAAGCATAAAATACATCATATACAATTTTTGTATTATAGAATCTCAATATAAAGAGCTTAAATGTAAGGAGAATAATAAGATCAATAACGGTTAAAAAAAAGTCTTATTAGGTGCATAACAATTTGTTTTCAGCCACGGAATACAAATTAAAAAAGGTAATTGTGACTTTTTAAAAAAATTTTTTGCAATTGCAAGTTTATATCTTACAATTCTGACTTTTCTTCTCAGAATTAGGAGACTCAAAATGATGAGACTCGAATCTGTGAGAAAAAAAGTCAGAACTGGGAGATGAAAAGTCGCGATAGGCTTTATTTATTTTCTTAATATTTTTTTTCCATGATGGAAACAGGCTTCCATACATGTTTCTGTTCAAATCAATTCAAAGTTTCTTTATCAAATTCAAATCAATAGAATGATTACCAGTAATCCCTGAAATATGTGCATGACTTAAAGCAAAAAATAACCTCACAAAATGGTTTTGTGTTAATACCATGGTACACTGTTGGTGTCACTTAGAAAAAAGAATAGTGCAGGGATCCTACTGTACCTCTTCTGACCAATACATTTCCATGACAAGCATAAAATACATCATATACAATTTTTGTATTATAGAATCTCAATATAAAGAGCTTAAATGTAAGGAGAATAATAAGATCAATAACGGTTAAAAAAAAGTCTTATTAGGTGCATATAATTATTGTAATGAATTACATTTACATTTCTTATTTAGCAAAGTTTCAAATATTGATCAGATTAGTAAATACTAGATGCATGAGGGATATAATAATAGTAATGAGGTTATATTTATGAACTGATGGTGTTTACCTTGCAGAAGATACTCCATCATATTTATGGTTCCACCCGTTACGGGCATCACAGTGACCGGTGGAGCCTCCATCTCTCTGTAACTCTTCTGAACAAGTCTTTTAACACATTTAACTGTCAACTACCAGTGGAGAATGATAGCTGGTTAAACAAGAACTTTAAACGAATCGTAGATAAACATACACAACCAAAGACCTGCAGAGACAGTAAGATATTAACAACAAAACACCGCCAGCCAGTATAATACTCTGAATAATAAATGCAAAATAACATATATTTTACTTGTTATATGAAAGCAAAATCCAAACGTCTTATGTGTTTGCCTAAAACGCCATCAACAATTAATACAGCTCACTAGACTGCCTCCATGTGCAAAACGCGCATGCGCAGTGTCGATAGACAGTACAACGCATGCGCAACATTTTTTCCCCTTTCGTTTAACGCCATCTATCGGACTGAAGGGATCTCTTTTTCATACTAGTAATGTTATGACTCAAATGTATGAAAACTGAAATTCCTCCAATATTCCCTCAACTTATAAGTTGAATGGAACTGTAATTCTATCAAATTTTGTAAATGTGTTTTGTAAAAATGAGGTTATAATAATGTGTGACATCCCTATTTTATAACTTTAAAAGTTTCAAAGATTGACGCAACCAAAAGCACTTGACCTTCTGTAAGATGGCAGTCCCGTCCAAATCGGAAGTGAATCAATAATTAAACCGCGCCATTGAAAAAAAAAAAAAATAATAATAATAATAATTACTGTATGCAGAACTGTGGAATGAACGACTGCGACTTTTATTGTGAAAAACAATGAACGCATTTAACTTGTAGAGACTTTTAATTTGAAGGTACGTGCCATCTTAGGGATGCATGACATCGCTTGGTGTTAAAGATGAGCTCAACTCCAATGCTTCCTGTAGACATCTAATGAATGTAATTTATTATTCTGTTTCTGTCTGTTATTAATGTGTGGATACAGTAGTTTTTGAGTTCGAGTCATTTTGATATCGTTAATTGCTCCAAAGGTGTCGCCGTGTGTAATGTTCTGTCAGTGCTAGCTGTATTTACACAAACATTATCAGTTTACAGCCTCAGAAACGCGACTAAATATCACTAATACCTGATTTTAGTTGGTGGTTTTACAGTGTGTCGATTTAAAGATTGTCATGGTTCTTCTGTATGCCATAAACGATGTGAAATGCTAATACTAGCCCCAGTGTTAGCAGAGCTAATATTTTACTTATGTTTACATTTAATTTCCTCTGTTAATTATTATTTCTGGAGTCATTTAGGCTAGAAGGTGTTTTCTGTATTCTTTAGAGCACTTGGTGAGATACAAAAAGAGGTTTTTATACGTATTTGTGTTTATGGCTCGTCCCAGATCATTTTCTGTGTTGTTTAAAATGTTGCTCTCATTCTGAGACAAATGTTTAGCATGTTTAAAAACTTGGGTTGTGAATAGAATAAAACAATTGATTATATCATGGTTTTCAATCAGTGTTTACAAACAGAACGAAACAGGAGAAAGTATTAAATTCAGTAAAAAAAAAAAAAAGTTAAAATATTTTAATAAATATCTCAAATGAACAATTCTGACAACCCTATAATTTATTGTATGAAACCATTTTCTCATCTCAAATGTTCCATCAGAAGTAAAAAAAAAAAGTAGTAAAATTAGTGAAAATTAAAGTGGTTAACTATCAAGCACGCATTCGTGGCCATATGAATATCCATTTTCAGATGCTGATTGGGTTTCTTAGGTTTCTTCTTGATATTGTCTATGTTATTATTTGAAATGTGAATTGTTTACTTTTTGAATTGCGAAAATAATCACAGTTCCACCAAAACAAATAGTCCCATCCCAAACGCAGGTCACTAGTGGAGCCAGTGTTGCTGTGTCGGGGTGTTTAGGATTCTTACATGAGACTTACTTTTAGTTGTTTCCCCAGTTGTAAATGTATTTTATCATATTCAAACACTTACTTAAAATCACTAAAGTTACTGTCAGAACCGCTTGATATCTTGGTGTTATGAAATATTGAAGTTCTGTGTTCTAAGCAGCTCAGTAACTGAAGACATTATATGCGTCACCTGGAGAAAGATGATAATGGCGGATGACAAGGACGTGCTCCGAGATGTTTGGTTCGGAAGGATACCGGCCTGTTTCACACTGTCTCCAGAGGAAACCACAGAGAGAGAGGCAGAACCCTACTACGTCAGTTGAGATGACAGACTTTCTTTCTGCTGTAGAATGGTTAGTTTCATGTTACCTGACCTGTGCTGTTTTTCTCTTTCAATCTGTCAGCTGCTCCTCCCACGGGTCAGTTACCTGACGCTAGTCACTGATAAAGTCAAGAAACATTTTCTCAGAGTCATGAAGGCAGAAGACGTGGAGGAGATGTGGTTTGAATATGAGGGAACACCTCTCAAATGGTATGTCGAGTTGACAATGTGTTTAATCTAAACTAACTCATTTTCAGATTCATGAATTTTGCAGATGATTTTATCCAAAGTCACTTACACAGCTACTCAACTAATTGAGGTACAGGAGCAATTAAGGCTGAATGTAGGCCACTTATACAAAATGCATATGAATATCACTTGTCACTCTTATTTCTCCCAATATCATGTCTTAGGAAGAAGTCAGAAGTCTGTAGTTTCAAAACAAATAATGCAATGCAATACATTGCCCCGACCATTACTAGACTAACAGAAACAAAGCTGTCTGGATTTGAGAGTATTAAAATCTATAACATGGAATAAATCAGATCTAATGATTTATATGCACCAGCTAAGAAACTACCATAGTACAAATATGTGTTCCTCAAAAGCGTGATGGATCATATTTGATACTCGCATTGTTTTTCTAAAATATTCTAGAAAATGAAAGTTAACCTACTAAAACCTACTAAAATGATGTATGGATAATCAAGTAAATATGCAAAAACCTGCTGAAAATCATGAATGGATAATTAAGTAAACATAAGTTGTTCAAGTTCAGTAAGAGTTCATCTTGAAATATTATATTTATTCTTATGTTTAAGATTTCACAGCAAAGAGATACTTGTACTGCAACCTGTTGGTGGTACTAAAATGACTTTTACTTGCTAAAGACATAAACTGTCAATCAAGTGACAGAAGGCATGTAGTACATTGTGTACAAGAAGTTTTTCAGAAAGTGTTCGTCATGTTGATAATTTAGAGGCTGTTTACATTACTTTCTCAATGGCATTTTCTTAACTGATGCATATATGTGGTTACTCACATCCAGCACTTGTACGCAGATCTGATTTATTCCATTTTATAGAATTTTATACTCTCAAATCCTGGCTGCTTTGTATCTGTTAGTCTATTAAAGGGGTCATATGATGCTGCTAAAAAGAACATTATTTTGTGTATTTGGTGTAATGAAATGTGTTTATGCGGTTTAAGGTTCAAAAAACACATTATTTTCAACATACTGTACATTATTGTTTCTCCTCTATGCCCCGCCTTTCTGAAACGCGTCGATTTTTACAAAGCTCATCGGTCTGAAAAAGCGAGGTGTACGCTGATTGGCCAGCTATCCAGTGTGTTATGATTGGCCGAATACCTCAAACGTGTTACGGAAATGTTACGCCCCTCACCATACTGTGATGATGCCCTGTCAGGCCGGAGCGATGATTCAAAAACATGAAAACCCATTATAAACGAGGCATT